GTCACGCTGATTCTCAAAAATTCGTTAGCATTTCGCACAGCGGTTATATACAACAAAGCATGGTGAATGCAGCCGCTCGGCACTTTTCCGCGGAGTGAAAATTCGGAAACCCCTCTTCTCTCCTGTACAGGCAAATCATGTTATTAAGCGTGCGCATGAACGACGTGCGCATGATGCACAGAAAACATCGGAGCCATTTCGTTGTTCTCCATACATGTGCAACCAGGGGCGACGACACTGTGCGCCTACGGCCCGGTGACACGAGTCAAGAAGGGCGTGGAAGGCCGAAGAACGGCACCGCACCCTAGTGTGCGTCCACGGGTCTCCAAAGCCGATGGCAGGAGCTTGCAGGGCGTCCAAAGCGTGCATCTGCACGCCGGCCGCGTGACGTACCACCTTGTCACCGAGGTGCAGTAGGGGACAGCGGGACTAGGGAGTTACTTGGGCCGCTGGCGGAGTGCCGCGAGGAGGGCGAACGGGTCGCAAAGGTGGGTTATTTAGTATATTGTAACGAGCCATCCGCAGACTGTCACTGCGGAGGAGGGGGGGGGGGGTTGACACGTGCCTCAATTATACACCCGCCGCCCCCCACTGCGTGGCTCCGAAATCGGCGAAGGGGGAAGTCGCCGGCGATAGTCGGTGGCTGGGACTGTGGCGCCATTCCGTGGCAACGTTGCGAACTGTGCTGCAACCACGTCCAAGGTAAGAGCATGTACCAGGACACTAATGTTAAAGGAATGCTGAACCGAAAATAGAATTTCAGAAAAAAACGCGGAATCGATAGGCGGGAAGCTACACATCCCAAAACGTCACTCATAAAGCGGTATCTCAACGTATGGTCGTATTTTTGTAAAAGAAGAGCGCGCTCGCATAAGGCTGAAAAGACGCGTGACCTCGCAATGCTCATTTCCTCCTCTTTTCGCTTTGACTCCGCGAGGGCGCGGAGAGGAAAGGGAGCGACGCCATTTCCGCTCCTTCTCAACTCTTAAAGGCCGACCTACAAAACCATTTTCCGCGGGAGAAGAGGTTTCCTCCTTGCCACCCAGAAAGGAGGAAACCCCTTCTCCTTTCCACGGAGACTAGCTTCCGGAGCCGCCCTTTTCAGGGGAGGAGGAGGAAGGAGTGCGAGAGGGGAGGGAGCGAAGGTCGTTGGGGAGCACTTCCCTACCCTGCGGAAAAAGGTTTCGTAAGATGACGTCAACATTCTCCCTCGTTTGCTCCTTTATTTTCCAGAAATACGGCCATCCGCTCGAGATATGGCTATATGAGGGATGTTTCGTGGTTTATGGCGCCGTGTTCAACACTTCTGCAAGCTTATTTTGTGAAATCCGAATTCCAGTTCAGCATCCCTTTAGCGCAGTGGTTCTCAACCATCGACGTTTCGCGGGCCCCTTGTGGATCGGCGGAGATGATGGAGGACCCCGTTCGTGGTGAGAGGAGAGGAAAGGTTAAATATAACAATGATTTAATAAACTAACATAACTAAGGGCTAATGTGAAGTAGACCTCTCTTATTGACACACACACGAGAAAACTCGCCCGGAAACTGAAACATTTCTTCTCAACCTGCAAAAAGACTACTTTCTTGCCGAGCTAGACTGATGAGGCAGGACCTCGCGGACCCCTAGAACGCCTTCGCGGACCCCTAGAACGCCTTCGCGGTCCCTAAAAGGACCGCGGACCCCCCATTTGAGAACCACTGCTTTAGCGCATCAAGAGGTATTCGCAGGTTGGAAGAGTTCCAGTGGTACCCGATAGATATTGCCAGTGTGTGTTCTCGTCGTAAACCGTTACCAGGGAACGCAATTTGGACTCGAGCACACTCAAAAGGCAAATGCGTGCACCAGCCTTCGCTTCCGGCGGAGCAACCAAAAACCGAAGGCCAGTGAGTACTGCCTACAACGATGCGGAGACTACGAATCGGCGCCGATTAATAGAGGCTTTCCGTGAAGAGCCTTCTGGTTCTGCACCGCCACGAGCCTTCCGCGTGATGCCACGACGCGAAGGACGACGCCGGAAAGCCGGCCTCGAAATGGGCTCGGGCCATTTAGGCAAATGACGCGCGTCGCATCGGCTGCTGCCGGGCGGGCCTCGGCTCAGCCCCGAGCCGAGATAAACGAGCCGGGGGCGTCCCCTAACCGCAATCTCGCAAAAGCGAATCTCCTATTTTCGCGCTCCCAGTTCTTTGCCTCAACCCTTCCTTTCCCCCTCACCTCTTCCTTCTTTTTTATGATGGATTACGGCGAACGCTACGAGCCATATCCTGGCCAATCCAGCGCTGAGCATGTCACGTGATCCCGAGCTCCGCGTGTCGCTGAACGCCCCTCGGAACGAGCACCTGACTCTCAGCCGGCATCGGCGTTGGCTCCGATGGCCCGTGACGCCCGATGTGGTCCATCGCGAAGTGAAACGGAATACAAATGTCCCCACGCAGGCAAATTCCGGTCAGACTCAGCTGTCGGTGCGTTCTCTAGCGCCTTCATCTCTGTTTGCCGTCGTTTTCTCGGATCCTCTTTTCCAAAAAGGGAAAAAAAGAAAGAAATAAAGCAAAAAAGGGAACCAATCTTTTTAAATGCAAGATCGAGATTTTTTTGCCCTTCCAGTTCAATTATTCCTTTTTTTTTGCGTTTTATTATTTTAATTTTAAGAGGACGACGACGAGAGAAGAGAACCGCAAAGTTTTTGTCTTTGGGCCCCCGGCGTAAGGAATGACGAAACAATAATAGCGATAATAATAAATAATAACATTCCATTAGCACGAGTGGGAGACCCAAGATAAGGAGGAGAAACGCCCAGAAAAAGCGATCGAAAAGTATTTCGGAACGATTTTCGCGCTCCTCTCCGAAGACCAAATCAAAGTTACCTTAAAAACGCGCCGAGCGAAGCGATGGACCGAGAAACAAATAATGCAGACTCGCACGGGACACCCCAACCTCCTTTTTCCTCCCTAAGCTGGAGGCTCTCGAAACGTTAATATTAGAGCAGTGCCTAAAGGGCGAAAGACGTAGTTCTTCTTTTCCCTCCGCCCGCTCCGGTTTTCCATTTCTGCAACTTCTGCCTTTCCATTATACATCTCAGTCTAACGATTTCTCTTCCCTTTGGATGGAACAGTTCGGTTGCGCTGCCTCCCACTCTTCCTAATAACGCGCACAAAGAAGATTTTCGGCGGAATGAAAACGGTGCGCGCTTCCTTCGTCCGCTCCCCCGGTCCCATTAAAATATATATATATATATAAGGGGAAAGGGTGCGAGGAGGTTGCTAAGACGGTGCCCCAAAAAGTAGACGGCGGGGAGGGAGGATGAACGGAGCTTATTTAATACAGATTTCCATTTAAATGGAAATGAGAGCGACAAAACGGAAGAAAAAGAAAGGAGAAGGAGCCGGTGCAGCCACAAAGGACGCCGAGGGATGAAGAGTGACGGCTGCTTTGGGGTCCCGTCGAAGGCGAAAGAGGCTGGGGGGACAATGCATTAGGGCCGACGCACCAGTCAGCCGCCGCCGAGCTCCAAAATGAGATTTCAAAGTAGCTGTCTCGGTGACAAAGGCGTCCCCCGTCGCCGCGGTGGCCGGCGCGCGCTCACGCTGTAGACCCGTTGACAGCGGCGGTCAGAGAGCTCCAACCGGCCGTAGCCCATACACCGGCAGCGAAGACATGCGTCCACGCACGCAGTTTTGGAATATCGTTCCGATAGTTCCGATCACTACACGATGCATCCGCAAACGCGCCGGCGGAGTATCGGCTATCCTTATCGGAGTTATGGGCACGGTCTACTAGAACGCTGGGAGAAAGCTCGTCGTGAGCAAGTCTACCAGTCGCAAAACAGAAACCTACCCACACATGCTGTACCTTCATTTAAATTCGAATGGAAGCTTCAATAATACAAAATAAGAGGGGTAATCCTCAGTGACCATTTTCCCGACTTAATTGAAACAAAGGGTCAGCTGACACATTCCCCCAGACATTTAGTTCAACTCGCCCTCGATGAGCGATTCAGCGCCAGCCACAGGTCTTCAGCCTTCATCGAGGATCGCGGAGTCGACCGCCGCCTGAGACCTCGGTGAATTCACAACTTCATTCATATGTTCTTTCTTTCACCTCTCCGTGTCCCTGCCCTACTCTCCCTTTCCTCGTCAATTTCTTTCGCAAGCAACCGGTTCAGCCTTCCTCTAGGACGCCCTCTCCCGCACTTTTCATGCCAACTGTATCTATTCTTCTATAAGTACCCAGTCAAAACGGCTTTCCACCGGAAACTGGGGCTGTCCCTCGGCAGGGCTGCTATACACTATAGGTGCCGTGCAATGAAGTTTTTGGTTAGACAAACGCTTAACTATCCTAACGTACGGTAGTTGCACGGTCGTACTCACTGGAACCGAGCTATAGAGAGTTGGAGCGTGCGAGCGATTCGCTGTGGTAATGTCTGCACATGATAACCTTTCTTAGACAGCCGTTGTAGCTCTAGCTTCTCGACTTCTGTGCTCTGGGTATCTTCTCTGCCGAATACAAACGCCAAAATAGTGCCTACTCACCCTTCCCTCGCACATACGCACAAACAAGTAAGCGCAGGTGCATAGGCCCCAAGGCCGTGGCAAGTGCAACCAAACGCGAAGGAGGGCATCCGACAGGTACGAGATGACAAGGCTGCGGGTCCCATCGGTGAGAACAGCCAGCCGAGCGCTGACTGAGGCAGATCTCGCGTCTCCGCCCCTCGCTGGCTTTGGGAAGGTGAAGAAGCGGGGGATCCAGCACTTGGGCTTTGTTATGTCGAAGGCGTCGAGGCAAAGCACCGGTTCTGCCTGTCTGTTCCGCCTATATTACATCGGAGTTGTGAGTACGTGCCTGTCTGTGTGTTGTGTTCCTTCCTGTTCCGTCTATGCCTCTCTGTGCGCGATTTTTCATCATGTTCAACGTTTACCAACTCGCGCAGTTTACCACCTTACTACTGTCTGTCTGTCTGCCTCTGCGAGTGTGTGTAACAGAGGGAGAGAACAGTTTCTCTTACGCGGAGGATCCGTATCCGTGCTTGATTTCGTAGGCGTCCTTGGTGCTCTTCCAGAAGAGCAGTTCCACGAAAGCCAGCTTGTTGTCGCGGGCGGTCTCGACGAAGTCGCGCACCACGAAGGTGGCCAGCCGCGCAAGCTCCTGCAACAGAAAGCGCACGGGCCGACACCGCGTCAAGAGCAATCTTTTCACGCGTGAGTTAATTACTGGAATATACGATTCGCACAACAACAACATCAAGCCAGATCGACCTATACGCAGTCTTTCCGAACTTCATACGAGCCAAAGATGTGTGTGTGTGTGTGTGTTGAACAAAACCTCGTACGACAAACGGCGGTTATGGAACCAACGGACGAATCTCTCAATGCAAAAACACGTGTTTCAAGCCCTCCCGGAGACAGCCCTATTTTCGTTGTTTCCGTCCTAATTTATATGAACTACGGAAAACACCATATATGCTAACAAATTGTCAATAATTTATCCAAGATGCGTAAATTTAACACCCTGTGTCTGCTTGTCCGTCTTTGTTATTAATTTGTCAATATAGTGCCGGACTCCTTTGCCACCATCTGGGATTGGTCAGCGTCGCGCTGCTGACCAAGCACAGACAACGGCCATGTTTTGGACTCCCCTATTAGGGATGCAAAACTATCGATAAACTGACTATTGGTAGTTTTGGAAAAACTATCGATAGTGTCGCAAAACTATCGATAGTCTATTATCGATAGTATTATCGATAGTCTTTCCATAGTTTTTCGATATTAGACCAAGGATAGTACTATCGATAGTTTTGACAGACTATGGATAGTACTATCGATAGTTTTTCGATAGTCATCGATTGTCAGATTTCTGGCGACTATCGATACTATCGATAGCAGTATCGATAGTTTTGCACCACTACTCCATATCCCGGTTGGTCCTGCCGGAGGAAACAAGGTGTTAGGCGCGCGGGAGCGCCAAGGGCCCTAAGAGACACTCGGCAAGAATATCGGCGAGCCTTCTGACCCTGGCGCAGGCCAATCGCGGCGGTCAGACATGTCGCTGACTTTCTCGCCCAGTGTACAGCTTAGAGGCGCAGACGACCGATTTGGATTGACCTTGCCTCGCAGAACTCAGAACGTGCAAATCAACCCACGCTGATCTCTCTCTCTCTCTCTCTCTCTCTCTCTCTCTCTCTCTATATATATATATATATATATATATATATATATATATATATATATATATATATAACTAAGAAGAAAAGAACCCTTAGGGAAAAAAGCACCAACGGACGATTGAATCTTCGAGGTTTCGTCGAAACGTCGAAGATTAAATCGTCCGTTGTTGCTGTTTTCACTAAGGTTTTTTTCTTCTCAGTTATATACCAACGCCTTCGGCCTCCCGCCACCATGCCCGTTGTGTATATATATATAGAATGTTTGCAATACCAAGCTCGGACAGAGAAAAAATCTCAAAAGAGAATAGGCAGACGTCCGCAGTTACGCTTAAAAATAAAAATCACTTCGCAAGTCAGCTAACAAAAATTAAAAAAAGAGACCAAAACGGAAAGAAATGCAAGAACAGAATCTTCAGACTGTCTGTTAGGCTAACTGAATTTCGTCCAAAGAAGAAACTTGTGTCCTTTATTGTTATCATAAAAAAAAACACAAAACGAGTTACTTCGTAAGTAATTCAATACTTTTTTTTACAGTCGTTAGTCATTTACTCAAGTATATTAGAATTGAGTATGTTTACTCTGCTCGAATCACTTTTTACGCCATACTCAGTAACCTAACTGCGTTTCTTGTACCTTTTGCATGTCTGGATAACGCTAGTTATAGAATTGTTATATCTGGTTCGGACCGCGCACGCGCTACATTTGGGTGGAGAATAGGGAGTTTTCGTAGATCGCTTTCGCCGTCCCGCAACGCCCTTCGCAACCCGCTACGATACCCGGAACTCTGCAGTCAAGGCTATCGGCGCTCAGGCGCAGTAGTCACTTCGTTGCGGAGGGCTTAGCGGAGCGAGGGGAGGAGGGGGGGGGGACGCGGTTTACGAAAACTCTCCAATGAGGGTTCGGCTATGAGTAACTTATTTATGCAAAGACAAAGAAAAGAAGAAGGAAACATGTATTTTATTTTGGGACATTGTCGTTCTCCCTGAGCGGAACTCGACTGATAACACGATTCTATCGGCTGCGAGTGGCGAGGGGGCGACGACCAACAAGAGTGCGTAGGTACAGCTGCAACGGAAAAAGAGTAGCACAAGTGACCGATGACCAGAGCGGCAAAATCGCGACACGTGGCGCTATTGTTCCCGAGCGCGCCGATAGCGAGAGTGACAGTCACGTTCCATGCCCCAACGCGGGGGCGGCCGGCAGAAAGCAGCCCGTCTTAAAGCCCGCATTTTAAATCCTATCTTATCCCTCAATTTTCTGCCGGCCACCCCCAGGTTGAGATATACAACGTGACTGTCACTCTCGCTAACGGCGCGCTCGGGAACAATAGCGCCGCGTGTCGCGATTTTACCGCTCCGGTCTTCGGTCACTTGTGCTACTCTTTTTCTGTTGCAGCTGTACACGACGCCTGGGACGCCCGGTATCGACCGGCACAACCGAAACGTCAAACGGGAAACGACTGAACGGCAAGCCGCAACTGCCACTTCCTCCGGACGTTTTTCTGAGACGGACGGGAAAAAGACGCCGACGACCTTGGCTGACCTTTCAATGGCGAGGAACTTTTCCCCCGATCGCTTCTCCCGACCGGCAACGCGCTCCGCAGAGAAGACGCTGCTTCAGGGCATGCGCGCCGCTAGCCTTGTCTGCATAGTTCCGGACCTCGTACCGTTTGCGGAAAGGTACGAGGTCCGTTTGCGGAACGGGGTTGCGGAACGGAGGAAAACGATCTACGAAGACTTCCTATCGGGAAGTTTTCGTAGATCGTCATCGCTGTCTTGCAATGCTCTCGGCAGCCCTATTCGCGACTCCAGCAAACTATAGGGGGCGCGCTGGACAGGCAAAACCGGGGACGAAAGGAGGTCGTTTTCTTCGTTCAGCACGCGGACCACCATACATCTTGCACTGTATAGCGAAAAATCGGTGTTACGTATGAAAGCAAAGCGATTTTTCGACGGCAGAAACCTTCTAGTAAGTGCGTAGGAATGCCATGGCGGAACATAGAAAGAGTTACTGGAAACGATGCTTGTTTCTATGCTGCCCACGAGAACCGAGCAGCGGTAGCAGACGGCAGAGTCGAAACGACCTCCTCTCTTGAGTTACGCGGCGTCGATGTCGCTGGAGTCGCCAACACTACGGTGTCCGGAACTATGCAGAAACAAAGGCTAGCGGCGTCTTCCGTGCGTAGAGCATGGCGGATAAGGAAACACGGTCTACGTAAACTCACCAATGCGGACCTTGGGAAGATCGTTCCGATACGTCCGATAACGATACCCGACGCTCCGCAGACGCCTTTGCGTATGCGTCGTATCGCTATCGGAATGATCTACTAAAGCTCCTTCCCTATTGTCCAACGCCCGCACGACGGTCAATGGCCCATTTGGGCACGCGTGTTTTATTTTTATTTTTTTTCGTGACAGCGGCTCCTGGGCGCAGCCATCATGATGCCATAGCCGTGCGGCGCCGTTTGCGACTGTTGTAGTTTGAACGGTAGATGTGGTGTTATAGGAGATAGTCGCTGTATCGCTCTGCCCCGTTGTGAACCGTTTTATCGAGAAGAACGACTGAAAGCAAATCTCGAATTTTACGCCGGGCACGTGAGCGGAACCTGGTGGTGACGGTTAAAAACATTCATTCGAAGCAACAATGTCTGAAGTGTGGCGAGTATGAAACGTAGCTTATTAAATAGCTCCTGGCAGTGCTATTCGTAGAGCAAAGAGAGGAACACTTTGACGAGTAAAGTGACTTCACTGCCGAGGGGCGCGCAAAAGGCTTTCTATCGAGATGTCGTGGTTAATTGGCCGGGACAAAATAAGAAGACAGGTTTCTCGATGAGATCATGCCCAGGAATAAACATGCGACCCGATTCCCAACGATTATCACTCGCTAATTCCCAGAGACTTATCCGTCTTGAAATTGCGGGCTATTAGGGGCACTGATGTCAATTCTGAGATCGTTCTTTTGTGCTGAGAACTCAATCTAGACGCTCTCAGCATGCTAATAAACCCGAAATTACAATCGTGCGTAGCTTATTTCCTCGTTAAAAGCGTGTCCAAAGATCGTGACAAGCCCCTTTTGGGAAGATTTTTTTTTAAAGTGAAGTGGTCGACGAAGGGCGCTTGTTGGCGAGTTGCAATCGATGGCTCCACCCGCGGAGAAAAAGAGTAGTCTTATCCGGATGTGTACCTATCAGGCTCTCTTCGAAACGACTTATAATAAAATCATTTAAAATCATTCGGAATCTGCGCGTATTGTAAGGCTTTCATTGGTCCACACAATGTAGTCCGCGAGAAAAAAGAGTGCACATGTTTTTCTACTGCCCTGAGATGAATAGGCGGTTTTGTAATATAGGACTTGGTATATGCGGAAACTAACACCTTTTAAACAATATAAGATCAAAAACGACCTTTTTCAAAAATGACTTTAGTGCCCTTTTAAGAACCCACGATTTTCCTTTCTTCGTCCCCCTGTAAATATTTAGCCTGACAGGAAGTTCTTGGACATTCTAGTCAGAAAAGACATAACCACAAAGGGGCACCGTTGCCTCCGACTTCGCTCTCCCATGCAGTAAACCGGAAGAGCCCTAGTTACAGAATAGACTAAATTAAAGACAAACCTACTTAGATAAAAAAAAAATCCAGGCTATTAAAGGTGTCAAAAGAACTCCGAGAACTCCGATGGTTATTAGAGTTACAGGATCTACAAAAATGATTTCATAGAGAGCTTTAATCGATCTTTCTGATAACTCCGATAACGATGCCCGATACCACAGAGGCCCCTTTGCGCATCTATCGTACCGCTATCGGGTATAGTCAGCGGAGTTATACGAACGATATATACATTAAAAGTGTCTATTGGAGCAAGCGGCGTCGCCTCGGTACTAACCCTGAGGTCTTCGCTTATGCTGGTGGCAGCCAGGGAGCGGTAGTCCCGCAGGATGGCCTGGAAGGACTTGAAGACGCTGGCCTGGTACAGGAGCGGAGACATCTTCAGGTCCCAGCTGAGCCGGTGAAGCATGCGCACGACGTGCCGGTTGCTCTCCGCTGGGTTGGTCCGGTAGTGGGACAGCAGCTTGCAGTAGACCATGATGACTTTCGGCTTGGCGAAGCTGCGCGAAAAGCCGCACGCACGAATCAGTACCGGCCATGGGATGCTCTCACACAAAGAGAATGTCAATAACACGCCTGATTCAGCATAGCCTTACAGAAGTGTGACGCCCTGTAGGGAGCTTCACCGCCAGCCATATCTGAGTGCGCAGCTGGTGATCGCGTATTGACGGGGAGCTTCTACAGTTCCTTTTTCAGCGTGACTTCCACACCCCCAAGATTGATGGTCTCTTTGCGCAGCATGCGCTGCCTTTAAACATTGCGTCCAGCGTCCAGACTAAAATTAAGGCGCCCCAATATATTCCTCGATACACACGTGCCTTTTACACGCACGAACGTATCAAACCTGTTATTAAAACCATGCGTGTAGTGTCCAGTGCATTGTTGGTGGATTCCTGGCACAAAATGGTCCGACGTTTCGGATAAACCATGGTCAAAAATGCAGATGAATGTAAGTACAATCGAAGATGGCGACAGGCGTAGATGGATGAAAGACGAACCGTATATAGTAAATACAAGCCTCCCAGTTTGATGCAGAACTCGTTTCCTAAATATCCATTAAAAACAAGGTGTTCCAAAGGCAAACTATCAGTACAAGGAAATTAGTACAGGACCGCACGCAGGTACGATGTTCATCCTGACCGAAACACGCCGGGGCGGCGTCTAACCCTAGACATCCCAGAGTTTTACAATACAGGGCTCCAACGCTTCGGCTTCCCCGCGCCTGGGGCGTCGCACTGCGCATGCGCAGCGCGACTGCCAGAGGAGCTTGGGGGATCTTAAAACATTGGAGTCACCTATTCTAAAACTCTCCGTCCTGTAGCTCCGCACCTGGTTCTACGTTTCTTTGAGCTGCGGCGGGAACATTGCGCAACGCGTCTGTATGCCGCGCGTGTCGCGCGACGCCGGGACAACACGAGCCACCCGATTCTGACGTCAACGGTGATGGCCACAAAGATACTCGCCCAAAGGATCCAACGCGGCTGCGAAAAACAACCAGAAAATACTAAAAAGGCCGAAAATCGGAACACACAAAAATCGGTTTACGCCATTTTCAAGAACCCAGCGTATTTATCGCGCGCGCACTGAAGATGAGGTCACGTTAGAAGCCTATTTGCGATTTCGTCGCTGCAAAAGCACTCGAATCGTTCGATTCCCCCCCCCCCCCCCCCCCTTCCTCTCCAAAAAAATGGTCTGGAACTATTTTATATAGTTTCTTATGTCCGTGCGTTTGTAGGTTAATTTTCCGCTGACATGTCAAAGCCTCGAAGGCCCCATGGAACGAAAAATGCGACGAATCTTTTACGGCGACGTCGGTACGCGCACGGCGAGAAAACAGTGGCTGCCACGCCCCACGCAAATAAGCGAACGTTCGTCGGTTTTTCATATACTCACTGCATGGAGCTCACCCTTAACAAGCCATTGCGAAGTACCAAAAAGTTCAACTTGCGAGTGACAGCGCCCCCCAAAAAGTTTCGTACACCCTTGGCAAGTTGCACTTCGGCGCAACCATTCGTCTTTCTCCTAAAATAAAACGAGTTCAACGTGCCACAGACACGGCGTATCTAGACTCTTCCCGGGGGTCAGCCCGCCGTAAAATCTCGGCGCAGCCGAATATTTATTATACGGCACGCAGTTTGGACAGCCGTCCTGAATAACAACAAAAACAAGACAAAAAACAACAACAGCCAGCTCAATTTTGTATTGCAAAATCGAAAAGAACACGCAACACGAGCCGAAAACTCTCGCGCTCGGCAGCGAGCCCCGTACGCGCGGAAGAGCGTCATGTCGACAGGCACAACATCCGGTTCTCGGGCGACAAGGCGGCCGCTTCTGGTGCACATACATTACCGGCCGAGCGCGCGTCTTCACACACGACGACGCGCGCGTGTGCAGCGCGTGGGGCTTGGCCGGCGGCACATGCGGCAGAACGGCGGCAAGAAAAATTGCTCTTCCGCTGTCGCGAGTCCCGCCAACGGCAAACAGGCGGGAGAGGTTTCTTCACCAAACGCGCCTGATAAACTGTCCTTTGAAGCTGCAGCCGGGAGTTGGCGCGAGTTGGCGGCGAGGCACCCGGGACGGTGCGCGGAAAAAGGTTCGCCGTTCACGGCACGATGGCCCCCGAAAAGAAACGGCCCTTTGTAAGGCGCGCTAAGAATTTCTTTTTCTTCTTTTCCCCGCGCTAAGAATTTTTCTAGAGGAACGAACTCACGAAAACGAAAGAACAGCAAGGAATCGCGTGGGTCTTTCTTTGGCAGGATATGGCTTTAGAATGTGCGCCAGCCACTGCAATTCGCAGCGGCGACGAAGGCGAGTCTAAAGGAAACGAATAGAAGAGTCAGGTGAGCCGCGATTTTCGTCTATTCCGAAGAAGTCGGATCGGTTTTTCTTCGTCCGAGAACGGATGATTCTTTAGAAACGCACTCAATGGCTAGGAAAAAGTGAAACCTTGGCAAACCGTTTTCCAAGAGCCCCAAAGACGTCATCGTTTTCTTTTAAGGATATGATTTTCATTTCATTTCATTTCGACTTTGGAGAGAGGCCGAAGGCCCATAGCACGTAATCTGCAAGCCCACAAATAAAGATATATATATATATATATATATATATATATAAAAAATCTGATCACATTATCTGAAGAGCATATTGGTAACATTGACTAGCAACGGAAAGAATAGAACAATTTCGTGACGAGTTTGTTTTATATCTGTCGCTAGTCAAAGAACTCCGCTGCGACGTTACTCTGGTACAACGTTAGTGAAGACAGGAAGGACACAGTCGACCGGCAAAACGAAACAAAATGGCCAGTTATAATGTGTCTGGAACCTTAATACCGCTGCTATTTGCTCTTTCTCGCGTGAGTTGAAACGTGGTGGCGCCAGTGTGCCAATAGCCCCAAGCAGTTCCGGTTCTGAACAAGAAGGGGCTTCGCAGTATTTGCGAAATTACATATACAAGCTATATGTATATATATACATATCTTCTGGAGACGGCCACTTGTGGCACTGTCGGGCTTAATTTACTAAAGCCCCACTATCCGGGGAAAGTGGCGCCATTCCTTGTTGCGGAAATGCTCGAGACTCGTGCCAGGCGCCACTCAATAATCAATGTACCATAAAAAAAAAAGTTTTGCGCATTGTTTATATGTTGTGCAATATAGTGATGGCAATATTTGGTTGTTGCTTAAAGAAACGATGCCTTTGGCGTTTGAAAAGCGTACGCCTTGATAGAATAACATAGCTAATATAAAGTGCACCTACATACCAGGTGTGATCAAAAAGTTTCGGGACCGATTCTGTAGCCTAAAAAGAAAGGGCAGCACAGTGATGCGCGCGCAGCATTCGAAGCAAGGGACCTTCGTGTTTCGGTATACCAAAGGGCGTCGCTTTGCGAATAGTTCGAGCTGCGCTACACGAGTTAGTTTGACCACATGCACGAGCATAATGGTGATCTCTCCATAGACACCAAACAGAAGCGAGAGCGAAGTTTTACCATAAACTCGGCAAAGCTAAAACGGAGACCTCTGAAATTATTTAGAAGGCTTATGTCGAAAACCAGTGAGGTGCGCGAGATGTTTTGAGCTGCACTCGCGCCTCAAGAACGGCAGAACATCAATGAAGTCGAGGAGAGGTCGAGTGCCACTTAAAGCAGTTCGCAAGTTTCACCGATTTTTGACACGAGCCTGCTGAATCCTTTCAAATATCTGGCTGTTTTTTATTTGCCGAGTTCGACGCAGAATCGGAGTTCGTTCCCGCTCTGCCTTGCAGACGCCCTTTGGTACAACGAAACACGGAGGCCCCTTCCTTCGGCTGCTGCGCGCTCACCATTGTGCTGTCCTCTCCTTTGAGGCTACAAAATCAGTCCCGGAACTTTTTGATGACACCTCCTTTGTCTCGCTTCACCCCATAAAGGCGGAAATTTGTAATGCTTCGCAAGGAACCGGACTGTTCCACTTCGGTTCCTGAGGTGAACAAAAGTGTACTCCTCCGTGCGGGAACTATACGGGGCGCTTTAAAAAACGCGCGTAGAGCCTCAAGCGGTGGTGCTGGCCTTCGACACTGAGACGCGTTGAGCAGCCTGCGGCGCCTTTTCGCGTGCGAAGCTGTGACGCCGAAAGTCTGCACGGAGTACGTTCGCTTCTTGAGCCGATACGTTGAGGGTGACGACACCAACAGCGGAAGCTCGTAAGTGAGGTTCATAGAACTTTACCTTGATTCTCGCTAAGCTCGTTAGTGCGATGATGGCTCTTTTAAAGCCGGTGTCTCGCGTCACAATGGCAAGACGATTCAACCCGTAGTTTGGTCGAATTTCCGCAACGCCAGGAGGTGCGACGATGTGCAGGCTTTTAGGATAAAACTAGATGTGTAATTTTGTGCGATGAGTTAGGTTGAATCTTGAGCTTTAACGATGAGAGACTGTGATGAAGTGCGTTTATGATGATAGAGCGACTCAAAACCAAGCTTTCGGACGTGTGGCGTCGTTTCATATCGGGCGTTATCCAAGCGGTGTCGTCAGTTTCAGCGTCGTTCGTCTCGTTGTCATCGAAGCTGCATGTTTGGGTCCGGTGTGGAGTCGCGCCTCCGTAGGCATCGGCTTCGTTCGGGGTGACAGCCTTCAAAGATGCGCGAAAGCTTCTTGGCGGTTGTCGTCTCAACAACTATAATATTTGGGAAAATTGTATTCGGTTTCAAAAGAGAGAGACTGAGCATTCGTTCAAGAATGTTGTCGTTGACTTCCAGTCTTACACCCAAAATATGACGCTCTACTAAAAAAACAAAACAAAAAAACAAAAGACGTATCAAGTATATTTGATAGACTTCCCTGAACTTTACGATCAACCTGCTCGTTTGCAGTCTTTTTCTGGGTGGTCGAAGCGAAGCTAGGCGACTTTTTCCCTCCAGAGCACTAATGAGCACATATGAATTCGTAGGCATAGCTATGAAGGAAGCGACAAGCAAAAAACTAAGCGTCCACAAAAAAAAAAAAAAAAAAAAGAAGAGGG